ATTAATTAGGATTAATTTTAAAATGTGCGCATTTTCACACAGTGAAATTCGTGAAATCGACAGGGTCTGATATAGTGCACGATAATATCCGTTATGTTTGTATGAATAGTCCGCGTGGAATACAATAAAATATGATAAAACCAATTAATCAATTTGATTAGTACGGATAATATATCATATYAATATGAATGTCCTGTTGTTTCGATAAAAATATATAATATTGAAACTAGGTACGGAGGATTGCCCCAAAATGTTCTCCATTACATTAAAGTTGGTGTTAGGGAAATATTTATAACAGAGGTTTCCAAACCTGTTATGGTACTATCCATTTTGGAAATTATTTAAATTTTGTCGGTCCACAATAATATCAATGATATTCCTTTATTTTTTTTAAAGTAGGTTTTAATAAAATCTTCATGAATTATTTTTTTTTAACTTTGAGTCATTGACCTTTTGTTTAATCATTTAGTCCATAGTAATTGCACAAAAGCAAAAACAAAAAAAAACAAACGAATTTATTAGTTATTTGAAAAAAAGGAAGATTTAAACTGCTTGCGTGTATCGTATCGTTTAAACACAAGTCTAAAAAATGTATTATTAAAAAATTTAACTCGACCCTCTGTTGCCCCATGACACACAGTTTGGGACTTGTTTGGGTAATATATTTGGTCAGCAGATTTTAAAATTGAAATATAATTATTATGATATTGTTTAAGGTTTTAGATATATATAATATTATATATTTTGTGGTATCTGTTAGCGGTATTCAGTTGAATACTGAACTTAAACTAAGTAGTTAAAAAGTTAAGTTAATTTAAACTGGTCTAGCCTTTGATTAAAATGATGGTTGGCCATGTCTTATTAAGTGGTGTTTTGTGTTAAACTTGTATTTTCGTGAGCCGTGAAACATCAGCTAACTACGTATTACAAAACTTTTTTGTTGTAATATTAAGGCGAGCTCTAGAATAAGACAATGGTAGGCGGGTAGGTAACGCTGCACATAATATTAGTCTGTGTTTGCCTACGAAACGAGCACGTTAAATCCATCACTGCGCTATGGTGCATTACGCCTCGCTATCTGCAGTATTCGTATATCTTTTCACGGTCATTTTATGTTTGTTTTTTTTTTTATTCAATTTAATCGTATGTATGTTTAGGACTTTTAGCAGGTGTATGTGTCACGTATATAATTATTGACGTATATAATATGCRTACATTTTTTTTTCTAGGTACGTCGACGGATGTTTGCAGAGTTGCGACGACGCGGACGGTTGCAACCCCGCATCTCCACCCAAGTCTCTGGACATGACGCTGCTGATGATGTTGGTCGTGATGCCGCTCATCGTCCGCTTCATGCCACACGAATTGGCACCGGGCGCGTGACAACTGCTCGTGCGCGAATGTATAATACCGTAGGTGTATATTTTTTTGAAAAAAAAAATACTTGCYCGAGGTCGTTCTGGCGCGTTTTTTAACGACCAGACCGACGGCAAACACGCGACGATCAATTAAACGGGGTGCCTTGTATATATGTATACGATGTATTAATGACACAAAGCCGCAAYAAACATCAAATTTCCACCCTGCCCACCCAACCGCTCACGAAAACCCGGTACGATACAATATCCCCGTCATTATACTGTCTCCCTTCACTGACCAAACACAAGAAAACGGACGACGTCGAGTGGTTTGTATTCAACTTGTAACGCGCTTTTCGCGTGAATTGTTAATTATTACTATTATTCATTAATTATAGCTATAGGTAGATCATAATATTATTATTATATTGTAACAATTTATGTAACATGACATATCCCAGTTGAGCATATCTTACTGATGAAACTATTTCCATTAAAAAAACACTATTATTATGTAGATTATATTATATTACGATACTAAAAAAATATTTATATAATATATATTATATACTATTGTAAACTTTCT